GGTTAATTAAATGTTTGACCAAATACAGTAGGCTACTTCTTAAATTGATAATCTTGAGTGGCCCACAAATGATGTTATAAATTTTTCAGAAAAAAGATTCCCAACCATTTTAATGGAATAATGTTTATTTGCTTAGAAAGTAATGTTAAACTGCTAAAGAGTTTGTATTCTGCTTTATGTGGCCTTGAAATAAAAGTTCAAATAAGAGAACACTGAAGGAGCCCTGGTGGTACTGTGCGTTAAGTGTTGGGCTGCTAGCTATAAGGTTGGCGGTTCAAACCCACCAATCGCTCTTCTAAAGCAAGATGAGACTATCTGCTCTCTAAAGACTTATAGTCTCAGAAACCCTATATAAGGTCCCTGGGAGTCAGAATCCACTTGATGGCAGTGGGAAGGTTTAAGGACACCCAAGTGGAAATATTTGATTAATTAATAATAGCCAATTAATGAATTGCCACTCACACTGAGAAATTAATTGCCACTCACACACCCGACTTCACGGCACATAACCACCACCACCACTATATATATATAGTTTCAGCCCTGTAAAGCCTGTTGTTGTTAAGTGTTGTGGAGTGGGTTCTGACTCATAGTGACCCTGTAGAGGCTTTCTAAGGCTGTAATCTTTATGGGAGCAGCTTCATCTTTGACACTGACCTTGTGGTCATCAGTCCAGTGCTTATCCTACAGAGCCACTGCACTCCCAATGTATAGTACATTAAAAAGTCAAGATAAATACAAAAATAAATCAAAAAGTTTTTGCTATGAAGGTTCCAGTTCATATATCCATGGTTTACTCCCATCAAAATGTGTTTAAACATGTCTCTGCCATAGCTGCAGAGAAGTTCTCTCTGTGACACACTTGTCTCAGTCTCCTTAGGGTGCCTTCAAAAAAGAACCAATAAAAACAGTAACTTTTGAGGTATCTTTTGGGCTCGGGAAATTCAAGACAGAAAGGTCTGCTCAGAAGATTGTGGTGACCTTTTTTTTTTTGATCCTAAAGGGGTCATTGTGAGCATGGCGCAGGACTGTTTCATTCTGTTGTACACAGGGTCACTATGGGTTGGAACTGAGTTAAGAGCACCTAATAACAACAACAAAGGGGGTAATTGTGAAAGATTTTATCTAAGGACATAGGACAATCATGGGAGCTGATTATGAAGTTTTTTAAAATTTGAAACTACATTGGGGAGAAAAAGGCCAGGAAAGTTGTGCAGAGAATTTTATTCCCATCACAATGCATCCGCACACTTTTCTAGGATAGCAAATGTTGTGCTGCAAGAATTTTGTTGTGAAACCTTACCCCATCTACCCTACAGACCTGATCTTGCCCCTTTAGGCTTCTTTTTTCACCCAAAAAGAAGATATACAAAATCATAGAAATTTTTATTAAACAAAAATATAAAAAGTGTTAAGTTGCCTTTACTTGACATATGATGCGGCACTGCAGGATGATGTGCTGGACCACAAGGTCAATTTGAGCCATAAGGTCGGTGCTTCAAACCCACCAGACACTCCTCAGAAGCGGACTTGACGGTAGGTAACAGCAACAGGTCTGTATACTTCAAAAGGTAGTATTTCCATCTTTAAGCTTTCCTGGAAGAATTCTGTATTCTTTGATTTACACCATGTCAAAACAGCAGTTTGGGCATCCTCAGGGAACTCAACTTGTGTTCATTTGAAATGTGTTTTGAGTATGGGGAACAAAAAGATGTCTGAAGGGGCAAGAGAGGGTTGTAGGATGGGTAGGGTAGGGTTTCCCAATGATTTTCTCTTAGGGAAGCCCTTGTCACACTCAGATAGTGTGGATTGTCATGTTGGAAAA